CTCTCCTCCTTCTCCCCTCTCCTCCTGGTCTTCATCCTCGGGAGGGAGAGAATGAAAAGAAGCAGAGGTTGGAGGAGAATAGGAGGAGATGAGAGGCGGAGGAGGAGGGAAAGTATGAGAGGGGCACGATGGGGAGGCAAGGCGATGAGATCCAGAAACAGAGGAGACAGGACGAGAACATGAATGTAGCTTCCCCCTCTTCTAATATCTTCGTTGTATCGACGTCATGCGTCTCCTTACTCCCTAAAACTTGTCTTTCTTGTCGTCGTCTGTTTAGATGTGCGTCTCTCCGCGGTCATCCTTCCGCGAGGCCATCGGCAACAGCGTCGGTTACGCTGTCCGGCTCGGGGCTCAGTGGCGTTGAGAGCGTTGAGTTTTACCTACGTGTTCGCTTGCCGCCGCTTCTGCTCCACCCTCATCCGTGTCCTCCTCGTCCTCGTCCTGCATTCTTCTCGTTCTAAATCTTCACCGGTCCTACACCTGGAGAAACCACCACCCACCAAGCCACCCCAACCTGACCCGAATGCCCCAATGTGCCTCCCATTCCCAGGGGGGGGGGTCGGGGAACATGGAACAAAAAAACCATGTGAAGCCCGTGCCTTCGGGTTTAGTCAAGAAAACTGCAGATAGTCAAGAAAACTGCAGTGGGGTGGTCTGGTCGGTAGTCAAGACAGTTGCATGAACGTAACTTGCTTGGGTCGGCGCTCGGCGCCCGGGCGCGGCGCCTCTGGCGCCGCCCCTGGGCGCGCACCGCGCGCCAGCAAGGGGAGCCGGCGCCGATCCAGGAAGTCATCGCGGGCATCGGAGCGTCTGCTTAGGTCGGGCATGTCCCTGCACAGGAGGAGTATTCAAACATTGGCAAGCCCAAAGAGCTGGGGACGATCTCGTGACCATGTGTGTTTATGCTTGAGTATATGTTGGGCTACTGCTAACGTTTCTTCCCAAAGCCGCCTGCAGGAGGACGTGCCCGGCCTAAGTTCATGCTTAAGTGGTCGCTCTTGTTGCATACCTCCTCTTTCGGCCTCGTCGGCGCCCGCCTTTCTCGCGGACCAGCTCGCAGAAACGACCCCCACGTTGCGGCGGTATCCTCACCCATGCCTCGATTGGTGGACGGGTCCAGGGTAGCCTCCTCTGTTCGTGCCGGACGTCAGCCCCCGCGTCGGGTCTTTGTTGCGTTTTCCAGCAGAGCATGTGCAGAGTCTGCAGTGTATGGCGGTTTCTTGATCACTCACTGGCAGTAGGTGGAAGCCTAAGCCCGGCCGAGAGTGTAGCGTTTTTTCCTCAATCGGTGATGTGACTGCTCAGCCTGCGTACCCAGCCAACCACCGCTTTCGCATTCGGAGCGTGCCGTGCACGTGCGGCTCTAGAAGGCAGCGCCCCTCTGTGGTTGCATCTTGCCCCTGTCATCCCTGCCGCGCGCATTGCACCTTTGACAATCGTTGGTTCCTCGTCCTCTGCATCATATGGGTGCCTCACCCCCACCTGTCATGGCTTGTTGCCTCGTCCCAGCTTTCTCCTCGCGTCAAGCGGGCGCTGGTCAGGTTCAACAACCAGCCACCTCGCGGCTACGCCTCGGTCTGCTTCATGACGACGGGCATGTTGCTGCGGCGAATGGCGTCGAGAGGGCTCCGCGGAGTGAGCCACCTCATCATCGACGAGGTGCACGAGCGCGACCTCGACACGGAGGGGTGGGATTGGAGGAGCAGCAGGCAGCAGAAGCAGCACGGAGGACCCAGACCCCTCGAGTCGTGAGACAACACGACGTTAGGTGTTCGGCATTTTTTTCGGCCTGCAGGGGGGCACCAGCGTTATGTCGGGCCTGTCCCCCTACAGGGGGGATATTCGACGAACAAAAATATCATTAAACCCAAAACTATTCAAAACAAAATCCAAAAATAATATGGGGACTATTTTTGGAGTATTTTTTCACCTTTTTGGTGCATGTTTGGGGTATTATTTTTCGTCGAAAATCTCCCTGAAGGGGGACAGGCCCGACTTAACACTAACGTGCTCTGGGACTGCAAACAGCGAGTCAGGATGAACAACCGATCCTGGGGAAGGGGTCGAGGCCTCCGGGGGCCGCACGGGCCGCAGCTGTCGCATGTGCTGCAGCAGTTGGCGAGCCTCACCAGCATGAGAGCCATCTCCATGGCACGGGGCTGCGCGCGGTCGCCGCTTCGCGGTTGTCGGCAGCGGATTCCCGTCCTTTGGGGGCGAGCCGCTGCGGTGTTTTGTCTTCTCCCCTGCCGCACCGGTGTCCAAATAGCGGCTCGCTGGTGCGCCTTTGATGGCACAGGTGGTCGCATTGAAGCTTGTCCACACAGACGGGTCCACAGCAACAGAAGGGAAGGGGTGGCGGGGTCGGCAAGTCGGTCTGCGCGTGGGGGGGTGGGTGACACTCGGAGCTGGCCTCGTGTGCTGGCCTCCTCTGGTGCTGTCCTGGTGCCCCAACCCGCGGAACGAGAAGCGCCCCATCGGGGCCGCCGGGGTGTTGAGTCCGTCCCAGGCTGCTCGGGGGTTGCGGAGGCCAGCGATGGCTACCTGGGGGGGCTGTCTCTGCGCAGCCCGAAGCCTCACCAGTGGCCAAGGAGACGAGGAGGGAAGGAGGGTCGCAGAATGGGCAGCTGGAAGAGGAGAGTGGTTTGGCAGATCGGGTTGCCCGTGGTGTAGCGGGGCTGGCAGCCCCTCTTCCAGCAGCCACCGACATTCTTGCCTTTCCTCGGAGGTTGACAGGGGTGAGGCCTAGGAGCAATAGGAGCAGGACGAGGAAAAGAGGGTGAGCAGCATCAGGGGCGGTAGGACCAGCAGTAGGGGCAGCAACTGCGGTGGGGGAAGAGGAGGACCATGAGGAGGACCAGGAGGAGGAGGAGGAGGAGGAGGCGGAGGAGGAGGAGGAGGTCGACGTCGACGACGACGACGACGACGACGACGACGACGACGGCGGCGGCGTCGGCGGCGGCGGCGGCGACGAAGACGACGACACCACCGAAGACGACGACGACGACGGGGGCGGCGACGGACGGCTCTGACGATGAAGGCGGCGGCGGCCACGACGCCGACGAGGATCCAGTATCTAGGAGGACCATGGTCGCCTTGGTCACCATGGTCGTCGCCATGGTCGCCTTGGTCGCCTTCGCAAAGGTCGCCATTCTCGCCATGGTCGCCTTGGTCTCCATGGTCGTTATGGTCGCGTTGGTTGGTCGCCTTGGTCGCCCTGTTCGCCATGATCGCCTTTGTCGCCATGGTCGCCTTGGTCGCCATTGTCGCCTTGGTCGTCACGGTCGCCATGGTCGCTTTCGTCGCCTTGGTCGCCCTGCTCGCTTTGGTCGCCTTGGTCGCCTTGATTGCCTCGGTCGTCTCTGTTGCCATGGCCGTCGCCATGGCCGCCATGGTCGCCATGGTCGCCTTGGTCGCCCTGGTCGCCTTGGTCGCCCTGGTCGCCATGGTCGCTCTAGTCGCCATAATCGCCATGGTCGCCATGGTCGCCTCTGTCGTCATGTTCGCTTACGTCGGCATAGTTTCTTTGGTCGCCTTGGTTGCCGTCGTCGCCTCGGTCGTCTTGGGCGTTTTGGTCGATTTGACCGCCTCTCGTTCGCCTTGGTCGCCATGGTCGCCTTCGTCGCTTTAGTCGCCTGGGTCGCCATGACCTCCCTTGTCGTCTTGGTCGCCATGGTCGCCTTTGTCGCCGTGGTCGCCAGGGGTGCCATGGTCACCATGGTCGCTAAGGTCGCCTTGGTCGCCAAGGTCTCGCCGTGGTCGCCTTGGGCGGCTTGGCCACCATGGTCGCCATGGTCGCCATGGTCGCTCTGGTCGCCTTGGCTGCCTTGGTCGCCTTTGCCGCCCCGCCTTGGTCGCCATGGCCGCCTTAGACTGCATTCTCGCAGTGGTCGCCTTGGCTGCCATGCTCGCCTTGGTCGCCATGGTCGCCTTTGTCGCCTTTGTCGCCATAGTCGCCTTGGTTGCGCTGCTCGCCTTGGCTTCCATAGTCGCCATGATCGGCTTGGTCGCCATGGCCGCCACGGTCACCTTGGTCGCCGTGGTCGCCTCTGTCGTCATCGTCGTCTTCCGTTCGCCTGGCTTGCCGTGGTTGTCGCCTTGGTCTCCATTGTTGCCATGGGCGCCTTGATCGCCGTGGCAGCCTTGGTCGACTTGATCGCCTTTGTCGCCACGGCCGCCATAGTCGCCATGGCGGCCACTGTCGCCTTGGTTGCCATGGTTGCCATGGTCGCCATGATCGCCCTGTTCGCCTCGGTCGCCTTGGCCATGGTCGCCTTGGTCTCCTTGGTTCCCTCGGTCGCCTCGGTCGCCTCGGGCGCTGCCTCTGTTATGTCGGACGCCTCGGTTGCCTCCGGTCGCTGCTCTCGTCTGGGTCGCCTCGGTCGCCTCGGTATCTCCCGTCGCCTTGATCGCTATGCTCGCCGCCATCGCCTCGCCGGCCTCGGACGCCTTGCCCACCTCCTCCTCCTCCTCCTCCTCCTCCTCCTCCTCCTCCGCCTCCCCCTCCGACGCCTTGCCCACCTCGTTCGCCCGATACCTTCGTATGCCCTTCCGGTCTCGACCCCCCCGGTCGAGTAGGCCGCCTCGGACTTCCGATCTGCTTCGGTCGCCTCGGCTCGGTCGGCTCGGTCGGCCTGGTCGCCTGGGTCGCCCGTGCCGCCTCTGTCGCTTCGGCCAGCTGTATCGTCTCGACGGCTCCGATGGCCTCCATCACCCCGGTTGCACGTATCGTAACGAGCGGCACGGTGAAGGAGCAGAAGGACGAGCAGGGATGTAAGGAGGAGGAGGAGAGCAGGAGGAGAGCAGGAGGAGGAAGACGTCGAGAGGGAGAGGGAGGAGGAATTGATGAGGAGCTCGGAGGATGAGACTTCCGTGCCGGGCCAGCGTGCTGGGTGGGATTGTTCGCGGCGGCACGCGAGGCTGCCACGTGTGACACCTCATGTCGTAAGGCTTGAAAGGGCCGCGACAAAGTCAATGAGGACTACGAGGATAGTGAGGACGATGATGTGGAGGATGATGATGATGATGATGATGATGATGATGATGATGATGATGATGATGATGGTGATCGTGATGGTGATGGTGATGGTTATGATAGTTGTCGGATTGTGGAAGAGCGCCAGTGGATACCCTTCCTACTGAACAGGATGTGTTTCCCCCCCTCGCCCCCTCTCCTCCTCTCTTCGTCGACAGGGGGAGGTGGTGGTTTCGAACTCCCCCCCATTCCTCTCCCCTTCCCCCTTTGCGCCTGGGACGGTCGGTTCGCTGGGGGGACCGCCTCTTCTCTCGTTGCGCCAGTTATGGTGTTACCTCAGGGTTAGGCTGTTAGGGTCCAGGTGGTCGGGTCAGGTTTAGGGTGGTAAGGTTATGGAGCTATGGTGTCGTTGTTTGCGGGTAGTCTTTAAGGTTAGGGTGCTAGACTTACTGCGTTAGGGTTGGAGTCTTAGGGTTAGTGTGCCAGACTTCCTCTTTTAGGTTTAGGATTTCAGGGTTAGGGTGTTAGGCTTAGGGTGTTAGGGTTGGACTTTGGATGTCAGAGCAGTGGTGTTTGAGCTAGGGTGTTACACTGAGGGTGGTAGGATTCGGGTTGAGGCGGCAGTGTGTGGGACAAGTTGTTAGGGTTAGGTAGAGGCAGGGTGTTAGGAGTAGTGTCTTTTTGTTTGGGCGTGCGGCGTCGGGTCAGGATTAGGGTATCAGGTGTTGACGCAGGGTGTCGGGGTTCGGGTAAGGGTGGTCAGGTTAGGATTCGGGTGTTCGGGTTAGGGCGTTAGGGTTGAGGTGTTGAGGGTGTTGTAATTGAGGTTAGGGTGTTAGGCTCAGCGTGTTCGGCTCAGGGTGTTAGAGTTAGAGTGTTAGGGTTTGTGTTTTCACGATCATGGTGTTGACGTTAGAGTGAGAAGGTTCAGATTAGGGTTCAGGCGGTAGGTTGTTTTCGGGATGTTAGGGTTCGGATGCTAGGGTTTGGTTGTTGGGGGGCAGGTGCGTTCGGGTCAGGGGTGGAAGGTTGGGGCGTTACACTTAGTGTGGTAGTGTTAGGGTGTTAGGGTTCGGGTGTTAGGCTATTAGGGTTCTGGTGTTGGGGTCACGGTGTTCGAGTGGTACGGGGGTTGAGCGTACGGTGTTAGGGTATTTCTGAGAGTGTCAGGTGTTACACTTAGTGTCGCAGGGTTTGGGTTAGGGCCGCGGGGTTCGGAGTACGGTGTAAGGGCTGGTCAGGGGTCGGGTTGGGGTGTTTGGGTTAGGGCGGTAGGGTTCGGGAGAGGGCGTTCGGTTTAGGGCGGTAGGGTTAGGGTTTCAGGTTTATGTTGTTTTTGAGTTGGAGTGTTAGGGCCAGTGTGTTAGGATTCGTGCGGTAGGCTTGTGGTGTGAGGGTTTCGGCGTTTCCCGGCTGATGCTGATGGTTCGGGTGTTAAGCTTAGTCTGGGTCGCCATGGTCGCTTTGGTCGCCTTGGCCGCTTGGCCATGGTCGCCGTGGTCGCCTTTATTGCCATGCTCGCCTAGGTCGCCATGGTCGCCTTGTTCGCCATGGTGGCCATGGTCGCCTTTGTCGAGTTCGCCATGGTCGCCTTGATCTCCATTATTGCCATGGGTGCCTTGGTCGCAATTGTCGCCATTCTTCGTCGTGACCTTGAACGCCATGCTCGCCATTGTCGCAACAGTCGCCTTGGTCGCCATGGTTGTCTTGGTCACCATGGTCGCCTTGGTCGCCAGGGCAGCCCTTGAAGGCCATGCTGGCCTTGGTCGCCTTGGAAGGCCGTGGTCGCCATAGGCGCTTTGGTCGCCAGGGTCGCCCTGGGCCGGCTTGGTCGCCAGGTTCGCCAGGGTCGCATTGGTCGCCATGGTTGCCATGGTCGCCCTGGTCCCCAGGGTCGCCTTGCTCGCCATGGTCGCCTTTGACACCATGTTTGCCTTGGACGCCATGGTCGGCTTGGTCTCCTTGGTCGCACTGGTTGTCTTGGTCGTCTTGGTCGCCTTCCTCCGCTTTGGACGCCATGATCGCCTGGGTCTCCATGGTCGCCATGGCCGCCTTGGTCGCCATGGTTTCCCTGATCCCCGTGGTCGCTGTGTTCGTCATTGCCGCCATGGTCGCCACGGTCCCATTGGTCACCTTGGGCGCCTTGCCCGCCTTGATATACGACGACCCCTCGGCGCACCCTCGCGGGCGGCCGCACCAGCCTTGCCGTGGGGGCTCGGCTAGTAGGAGGCCGCCCCCCCCGCCCCCCACTGGACCGCGGTCGATGCTTTCGAAACCTCCCTGGGCCGGGGACGGGTACAGCGAGGGGGGGCATCAAGGCAACCGTAGGAGGGGATAGGCTCCGGGTTGCATGCATCGATCCGCAGTCGCCCATGCAGCATCGCCGGCAGGGGCACGATCGTTTTTTTCTCGTCCGCGAGGGAGCGGATTTGAGATTGGGGGCCTAGCGACGACACATCGGCGATGTATTGCCGATTCCAGCCCGGTGTTCTCCCATTCTGAGCCGCCCTCCAACATGTTATCAGTCAGGGTGAGGAGGCGGATAAGGAAGGTTAGGCTTTGAAGCCTCTTTGCTTCGGAGTGCCAGGGCCCGTGGACATGGAGACACATTGGGTGTCGTTCCACCGTTGTTCCATGGCGCTGCCTCCCGAGGGCCTCTTGAAGATCCCTCTGCGGGGTCATCCTGGGGCCGTCTTGGCGTCTCCCTACAGGGGGATTTTCGGCGAAAAATTTAAAATACCCCCCAAATATGCCAAGAAGGTCAAAAAATACTCGAAAAATAGTCCCCAGACTATTTTTGAATTATTTTTTTTGTATTTGGGGAGTATTTTTCTGGAGCGGTGGAGCTATCTGTCGTCAGGGGCGCCTGCTCCGTCCCCTCCTCCTCCTCCTCCTCCTCCTCCTCCTCCTCCTTTTCCTCCTCCTCCTCCTCCTTTTCCTCCCCCTTCTCCCTCCTCCCTCCTCCCTCCTCCCTTCTCCTCCTCCCTCCTCCCTCCCTCCTCCTCCCTCCTCCTCCCTCCTCCTCCCTCGTCAGGAGCGCCGAGTCTTGAGTCCCGAGGCTGAGGATGCCGCCTGGAAGGTCCCCGATGGGGGGGTGGACGCCCCAGTCCCCCTTTGCGAGGCCGCCAGTACTCGCCCAGCAGTGGGCACGAGGAGCCCACTCTTGGAGGTCACATTTGACCTCGGCGTTGCTAATCGCGTCCGTCGCCGAAGGCCGGCCTGCTCTTGCATAATTCCGTTCTCTGCTGCATGCCGTTCGCGTCGGTTTAGTCTGGGCTAATCTCGGGCTCAATCTGGGCCAACCTGGCAATTGGTTCCGTACACGGGCTTAACAGCCCCCGTAGTCGTTCTCACGAAGACCACCCAGCATTCTCCTCAAAGGGACGCCTGGGGTTCCCCGATGGATGCCCTGGGAAAACGACCGGAAGTCTGCCTGGCAGCGCTCGCAGGCGTGCCCCACGCGCCTCGGCGTGCTGCCGGCAAGGTGGCGCACCCGAGTTACGCTCGGCTGCAGCTCCGTCCGCTCGTTTTTTTGTTTTTTTGTTTTTTTCGGGCGAGCCTGCTGACACACGGGCGGCGCGCCTGCACGCGCGGCATAGTTGCCCTGCATGCCCTTGGTTGAGGACCGTCCCGGTCCGGCGAGGTCCGCTCAATCTGGCGCCCCGCTGAAGTTGCTATGGGGGAGCGGGTCCTGAGGGAAACGGGTTCTGAGTTTTTTCGGGCTCCTGGGGCCCTCCTCGGCCCTGGGACCGTTAGGACATGTGTCAGGATGAAGATTTCGCCCTGGGCCGGGTCCAGGAACCGTTGCCCTCAGGAACCGTTTCCCCCATGCTGACGAATCCGGCTTAACTTGGTTCGGTGGCCCCGCAATCCTGCCTAATAAATAGCTTTGTATTGGCCGTTCTTGTGAAAGCCCACCCCGTGACCCCTCGTCTTCTGCCCCAGGATCCTGGTCGGAAGGACCCCCAGGGGTCTCAGCAGGGGGTCGGTGAAGGGCACCGGTCGTGGTCAGTTGCCTGTCGGCGCTCGCGGGGGCTTGGCGTTGCAAGGGCGGCGCGCAGTAGCAGGGCGGAGCAGGGGACGGGGCGGGCAGGCGCAGGCAAGGGGGGTGGGGAAGACGAAGAGGCGGATGTCGAAGAAGGGCGAATGCCACATAATTGCACAAGTTAGCGGAGCTCCGCGCGGAGCTGTCGAAGAAGAGCGACTGGCATACACAAGCTGTCGAAGCTCCTCGTGGAGCTGTCGAATGCTCACGACTGGCATACACAAGCGAATGGATATAACAATTGCGTAATCATACGCTGTTGGAGCTCCGCGCGGATCCCCCAGGCGGCGTCTCCAGCGCCGCCCCTGAAGCACTCTGACGCACTCCGCGCGCCAGGGAGGGGGGTCCAGCACCGATCCAAGAAATTCGCGCGAACCTCCGGCAGCTTATGCTTACACAGCTGCTGCAAAAGAAGAGAGGTGGCTTGGATAACAGGAGGAGGACGACGAGAAGCGAATGGAGACTCGAAGGAGATGAAAGAAGAGAAGAGGTGGATGGTGAGGACGGGGAGTCTGAGCAGGATGAGCTGGAGGGCAGAGCGGTGTTTGTGAGGATTTCTTGCTGACTATTGTCAAGAAGCTTGCCCACAAGAACCCCGACCTCAAGATAGTCTTGATGTCTGCCACAATATGCAGCAGGCCAGCGCCATCACCCAGGCCTGGATCTCAGAGAAGGGCATGTGGCGCATCCAGTCTCCTGACTCCCACACCTTTCTCCTGCTCCTCCTGCTGCACGTTCGAGTCTCCCCTCGTCCCTCCTCCTGCACCTCTTCCTCCTCCTCAGCAGCAGCATCAGCATCAGTATCATCATCATCATCCTCATTTTCCTCATCCGCATCATCATCATCATCGTCATCATCATCAACAACACATCACAATCATCAGCATCAGCATCACCACCATCATCATCAGCATCATCATCGTCATCATCGCCATCATCATCATCATCATCATCATCAGCATCAGCATCAGCATCAGCATCAGCATCAGCATCAGCATCAGCATCAGCATCAGCATCACCACCATCATTATCCCGACACCCTTTTCATCTCATTCACCCGCCTTTCGCCGCTGCTCCACATTCCTTCGCCCCCTCCCTCTTCCTCTCTTCCCCGTCCTCCTCCCCCTCCCCTCTCCGCCTTCTCCGGCTGTCCTCGAAGCACAACGACATACACATAAGTTTTGGGAGTTCCGCGCGGGGATCCGAAAGTTCATGGTGATGCAAGTGTATTTCTTATTTTAGTCCCAGCTCCAACTCCCTTTTCCCCGCCTCGATCTGATCCCGCTAGCCCCAGCCCGCTCCACTCGATCCTCTCCTTCGTTGTCTCGCCGTCCCTGCCTGCCAGTCCTGCTCGTCCTCCCCATCCGCTCCTCCTGCTCCTGCTCCTTCTCTGATCCTTTTGCTTCTGCTCCTCTTTCCGCGCTGTTCAGGATCGCTCTCTGATCTTCCCGCTCTTCTCTTCCCGCTCTTCTCTTGATCCCGCTGTTCATTCTCCTCACCCTGTCCCTCCCTCCCTGCTTTGTCCACTTCCTCCGCTGAGCTCTCTCTCTCTCTCTCTCTCTCTGCTTTGTATATATTCGAACTCCCCTGAGGGGGCGGGCACCGCCGCCCCACGTTGTCGGACGCGTGGAGACCTCGGGAGGCCTGGTGGAGGAAGCGCAGGGCCGCTGAAGCGGTACCAGAGGGCGAGAGGGAGGGCTCAAGACGGCCCGGGAGGACCTACAGTCAACGCGCATAGTAAGGACAAACGACTTTTTCAAGGGTACTCTTGGGTCCTTGCCTGCCTCAGCCTCTGCGGCCCGTCCCTAGCAATTTTCGCAGGCCAGTTTCTCAGGTTCCCTGGGGGGTTGGCCGCCTACCGCCCAGAATACTTCAACTTCGGCCTCCAAGGGTCTTGCGTCCTTACCACGCGTCCTTACTATACGTTTTCACTGTACCCAAAGCGTTGAAATCTACCCACGAGGGCCCCAAGAGTGCCCAGAGAGGCTCCGAAAGCGGCGCCAAAAGGGCACCCCCAAAAGTACCGAGCACGGCGGACGAAACCGAAGAGTGTTACGGAGAGGTCAAAGGGAGTTGCGTGAGTCAGTTTTGAGGCCCCAGAAGGCTCTTCAGGGACCCCCTGGGCTCGCCCAGGACGATTGAAGAGAGATCCAAAAAGGGCGGCCGCATTGCCCAGGATGGGGTCGAGAGGCTTTCAGGACGGCTCGAGAGACCTTGGAGATTTTTCAACGTAAGCGTGTCACAAGGGGCTACATGAGAGCTCGAACGGGCGCAAGAGGAGCAAGGAAACGGCCAACCTCATCAGACTCCATTGATTCTGTCTGTTTGGGGCATCCTCTGGTTTTCCCGGCTCAACATGACTTGAAACTGGTTTCGGAATGGTCCGAGACGGCTCCAGGGGGCCCCGTGGACGGGCCAAGCGAGCCCAAGAGGGCCCCAAGAGAGAAAGCTGCCGGCAGGGGCGCGAAATTTCATTTATCGGACAATACGTCAGTTACGTTGAAGCCAGCCACAAGCAAGGTGAACACTACCAGAAATTGTGCTCTGAAACAGGCCAAACAGCTTGTCGAGCAGGCGGCTGGAGGTCGCGGTGTTCGCGCCGATTTTGCGGCTTCGGGGAGTGCTCCGGAGGGCTTCCGGAGAGATCGGAGGTGGATAGACCTCCTACCCTGACACGTCGATTGAGGAATTGCCCGTTTTCGGTTCGCGAGAGGGCGTCTCGGCCGTCATTTTTTGCGGGTCCAGGTCCGTCGATTTCGGTCCCAGGTCGTTTTCACTAAGGGGAGGTTTACTAAAGAGAGGTTTGTCCACCGCCGAATGCCTCCCAGAGATCCAACGTATTGAGGAAATCAAGAGGGAGGTCTTCGGCAGTGTTCGGCCTCCAGAGGCCCTCGCCGGGCCCCTGGACCTTCAAAAGACGACGCGGGATGAAAGGCCGGCCCTGGGAAAGGGTCGGGACTTCCGGGGACCCCGCATGGAAAAAATCACGACATCGGATCTTGGGAATGCGTGGGTAAGAGGGGGAACGGTCCTTGCAGTCGGCGGCGAGCGAGGGGGGAGTTGAGAAGGAGAAGGCCTGCTCAGAAGGCTCAGAAGTTCCCCTGGCCTTCCGAGATGTTGTCCAGGTCTTCCCTTACGACACAGACAACTTGTCAGAAGGCCGAAGGGCTTCTGAGGAGTCCCGCAACCTTCTAAGAAGGCCTTCTCCTTCTCACTTCCCCCCCTCGCTCGCCGCCAATGCAGACCATGGGGCGGGGATCTCACACGCCGTGTCCGGTGGGGCGACGGATCGCTTCGCTCACTCCGCCGGCCCATGGTGCGTCTTTGTTGCTATATGTTGGTGCTCGTGGCGAGCGAGATGTTTCTGTGTGTTGGTGTGCTCGCGGCGAGCGAGAACGAGGAGGAGGAGGAGGAGGAGGAAGAGGAGAAGATCTGTGGATGGCGCTGGGGGCGCTCTTGAGGCCAAACCGGATCGTGAAGAAGACGCATGTTTGGAGGCTTGATGGGGTTTCTTTTTAGGTCTCTCGGGGGCCTTTGGCTGCCTTGTTGGGACCTCCTGAGACCTCTCAGGGGCCTGTTGGGGCAGCCGTTTGGGCCTCTTGGGATCTTGGGGGCCTGCTGGAGGTCTTGGAGTCCATCTTTCGGGAAACTTGGACCGTCTTGGGGCTGTTCTGGGAGCCTCTTGGGGCGATCTTGGGAGCCTCTTGGGCCGTCCTGAGCGGTCGGAGGAGTGAAAGGGAAACGTCCAAATCTTTCAACAACAGAGTCAAATCTTCGACTGTTGGCCCCCAGGGCCGCCCTTGGGGTCGTTTTGGGTCATTTGGGAGGTATCTTGAAGTCTAGTGGGGCCCTCTTCGGGCCATCTTGGAGCCTTCCCACTGGTCTCGACTGGAGTGCCCTCTTGGAGCTGTTGCCTCGGGGCCCCCCTAGAGCGTTCCCCGAAGACCGCCCTAGGGAGTTCCGGCATCCTTGAGGGGAGGGGCTGCACCGCGCGCGCGAACTAGAAGTATTCTGAACTTGTTACCCGCGGTCTTAGCGCGCCTCTGGCGCGTTGGGCCAGCGGGCTCCCTCCTCCTCCGTTTCCTTCTTTAGAGAAGGCAGCGGGTGTCGGAGGAGGAGGAGGGAGGAGGAGCAACGAGGGAGGGGCGAGGAGGGAGAGCGATGCAAGACGGAGGATAAATGATAATGCGCAGGAGAGGATGCGAGGGAAGAGCAGGAGGAAGAGGTGGAGAAGAAATAAGAAAATAATAATAATACTAGTGATAAGAAACATAAAAAGGATACTAAGAATAATTTCGGGGAGGAAGCAGGGGGGGTGGACGAGCAGGAGGAGGTGGGGGGGAGTAGGTTGGAGTGAGGCAGGAGGGTTGTGCTCAGGAAGGAGGCGGGGAGGCAGAGAGAAGGCCTGGACGCAGGAGGGGGGCAGATTTCACTTCGACTCCTCCGACTCGATTCGATTCGATTTCGATTGATTCTGCTTCAATTCGATTTCGGATGCCGATTCGGATTCCCGTCATTCAATGGAGGCCGTAGCAGCCTGCCAATTTCAGCCGATTCGATATCTCCCGACGCGGCTGCGAGTGCTCGGCGAGGGCCATCAAGGAGCATCCAGGATCAGTTTCCAGAAATCAACGCGCGAAATCAAATCATACATTGGAAATGAGCGTCCGAGCGATGGCAAGGCAGACGTATTTGAATGGAAAATGTCTAGCCACCACTGGCCACGCGCATAGGGGGGCGCAAACGTCCGAACAAAAATATATGCTAGCCTCGATACAATGGGTCGTAAATCCCCCGCGACGGATCCAGGCCATTTGCGAATAGGCACCTTGCGAGTAGTGGGACACGCTTGTCTATTACTGGAGGGATGGGCCAGAGAAGAAATAACTACACGAGCATATGAAATAGATTGCCGGAGCTTCGAGTGGATATTCTCTAGATCTCCGCTCGGCCCCCTTGGCGGCCCTTCTGGCGCCTCCCCCTAGCAGTAAGTCGGGCATGTCCCTCTATAGGAGGACTATTCCAAAATAGTCACGAAGTAGTCTGGGGACGATGTTTGGATAATATTTGACTACGCTTGAGCATTTGTTTGGTACTTTGTAGGTTTCTTCCAAAATCCGCCTGTAGGGAGACATGCCCGACCTAACCCTTGCGCCGATCGGAGAAATCCTCGCGCTCCTTCGAGAGCGTAAGGTCATGTCTTATTTTCTCCCGAGGCGTATTCTCACCAGGACTTCGAGGATCATCCATCCTTGGCGACGAGAGGTCTCCAGGACGAGCTCTGTCCGTAAGCCGTTTGCGTTACTATGCCTCTCTCTCTCTCTCTATCTCGCTCGTTTTTTGTGGGTTGCACCTCTGCTCTGTGATTTAGCGACTAACACTGGCGTAATTGTTGTCGTGCACCGAGGGTTGCAAACAGCGAGTATACCAGAATGGATAATAGGTGTTTTTCTTATATTTGGAGGGACGGGGTCGGGCGTGCGTTTAGGAACGCTCTTAGAGCTTTCCAGACCAATCTGGAACGGCCGCAGCACTTTATACTCCAGAACCACCTGATCTCAGAGTTCCACGACTTATCCAGGTCTGATGTTATTTTGGTTTCGTCCTATCTCGGCCACGCGTGAGAGTAACCCTTCCCTGGAGTGCCCTTTGGTGCGGCATCCCCCCAGCACTGACATCGGCGCTTGGACTTGGCCCCATCGTGGTTCCTTGACGCCGCGCGCCAACAGTCACGCTTGCCGGGTGTCACTCTTGCGCGCAGCCGACTACAGTCGGGCCGCTGAAGAAGGCACCCTTCTCGTTGAGGAGGGGCTCGGTGCTCCTCCTTCGTCTGTGCAGCTTAGGCTTTCCTTGGGTTTCTTGTGCGAAATCGCAGTCTCACTCATGGGTAAAACAGGGGCCTCGTTCCTCCTTCCGGGGTTCTCCGGTCCGCGGCCCGACCATAGGGGGGCGGGGGCTGCTCCCTCGCCTGTGTGGGGCCTTCCTCTTTCTTTCTTTCTTTCTTTAAAATATAGATATAACAAATGAGTATACTTAAAAAATAACATGAAAATGGAAGAAACAACAAACAAACAAACTGTGTGGGGCCCGCCCCGGCGGGCCTCTGCGGGCTGCTCGACAAGTGGTCCGAGTACTTCGGGCAGGGCTTCGGCGCGCAGGCGGGCGCTGCCCCTCGCCGCCGCGTCCCTCCTTTGCGCGGCGGCCGCGGGCCCCCTGCGGGGGCCCGGGCGACGACCGCCGGCAGGCTCGGCGCTCACTGAGGCTGGCGTCGTCGGCGAGCCCTGGAGCCTGAGGTCATGGCGACTCCATGCAGCGCTTTCGAGCTGGGCGTTTTGGCTCAATGTCGGGCCCCCAGGACCCTCGCAGATCGATCCAGCCTGAGCGATGACGCAGAAAGATGTGGTCCAGGGGTTTGGTCGTGATTTTGTGCAGTGTCGGATCTCAGGGAAACAGGGAGCAGGCCTTCTCAGAAGGCAGCGGGGCTTCTCAGAAGCCTCCCGGGCCGTCTGAGAGGCCGTTTCTGTCCTCTCAGACGGCTGAGAAAGCTTCTCAGAAGGCAGAGAGCTTTGCGAGCCTTCTGAGAAGGCCCGCCCCCTCTGGCTTCCCCCCTGGGCTTGCCGCCGTCACCAGCACTTGCCCGCCAATTCGTTGCCAGAGAGGCCCGTCGCATGGCCGCAATGGGCGTCGCGCTTCGCCGCTGCCTGGGCGGCGTCGCGATCTGGCAATGCTCAGAGCACACCTGCCTGTCAGCTTCGCGCTGGCTTCCTTATTGCAGTCTTGGATAATTACGACGCGTGCCGATGTGCGCGTGTCGAGTCATGGAGACCCCCACTTTTTGACGCACTTCTATGTTGCTCCCCGCCTATGGGCATGCTTGGCTGCTGCGTGCCCCCTTTGCTCTCTCTCTCTCTCTCTCTCTCGTCGTCGCCTGCCGCCTGCCCATACACTGGATTTGGCGGTTTCGACTCGGTCGCATTCCACCTGGAGCCCGTTTTGCAAATTGTGCTTGCGCATCCTGTTAGCGTCTCACCCGTCCGTGATTCTACAGTGTCGGAGGAGGAAGTCAAACGTGTGCGTGTATTGTCTTTGTGTTGTATGTAATTACGTGTCTGTTTTTGTGTGTACGTGTGCATGTGCCTGTGTGCGTGTGTGCGCGCGTGGTGGTGTCGGAGTGCTTCTCTGCATCCGCCATGTGGAGCTCATCGACGCGTCGGAGGAAAAGTGTGTGTGTGCACTTGTGCAGGGGGGGAAGTGGGTCGGGGGGGGGCGGCGTGCTCACCCGGGAGCCAGTTGTGCTCGTCCCGACCCCGATCTCGCGGTCGAGCCAGCAGGCGCCGCCGCGCGTTTCATGCCGCAGTTCATTCGTTGGAGCGCGCTGGAGGAGGAGGGGGAGAAGGCAGAGGGCTTCGAAACACGTGCAGCGAGCGATCGCGCAACAAGGCGACGTCTGTGGATGATGGGCAGCAGAGGGGCTGGCAACACTGGCTGGGGCCGCGCTGGGGCAGCCCAACTCTGGGGACCCTGGGTGTTTCATGACTCCGCCTCCGGTTCTCATGCCCCCCCCCTCCCTCCTGATTTCTAGCCCTTGCTTCAGCTTCCCCACGCTCTCCTGCCGTCCTCCATTTTCCCACTTGCCGCTTGTCTCCTCTTCTCAGGAGGAAAAGAAACACGCAGACACAATGAATCCTCGATTCCCCAGAAAATATAGGAAAATGTGGGAAGTGGGGGGGAAGACAGAAACCCAGGAAACATGGGAAACTATGGGGGATGTTTTTATTTGTGTGTATTGGTTTGTGTGTCCTGGGGCCCCTTCATCTTTCCCTTCTCCTGGCCCGTTTCCAACACCTCTCCCTCGCCCCAAACGAGCCCCGAACGGGGCAGGCTGCGCGAACGTTCGCGCATCCGCCACTCGAGGAGCTGTGGGCCTCGCCGTGGGGCGGCGGACACGATGGATCCTCCAATGAGGGCAATTTCTCGAGCCCTGGCAGATCGGACCTCCCCCCCCCTTGGAGGTCGCTTGGGGGGCAGCGTTGTTTCCAGGGCCAGATCCCAATACGCTCAGCCAGCGCGCTTGATCCGTCAATCACAATTCTTACGACACCCATTCGCGACAAGTTCGGACCTTAGGTTTACTCTTACCAACGATTGGGCTGCTTGGGTTTGCTTTTAACCTGCGAGCATTGCCTCCTCCGCCGTCGCCCCAGAAACACAGATCGCGTTCGCTGCCCCTCAGCGAGCTGAAGCCCCCCCCTTCCTTCAGGTGGAGATCCCCGGCAGGCTCTTCCCCGTGAAGCAGTACTTCCTCGAGGACGCCGAGGCGCTGGTGGGGCAGAGCGCGGGGAAGACCAGCGGCAGGCCCTGCGAGGACGCGAGGGAATGGGAACCGGGGGGGGCGTCGAGAAGGGGTGGGGACGAGAGGGGGTGGAAAGCATCACCGCCTGGGGCCATCGCATCCCCTCGTCTCCGGTCAGCGGGTTCCTCGGGCCCTCTTTTGGGCCGCGCACGCACCTCGATCCACGAGTTGCCATCCCAATCGGACGCCCCCCCCTCTGGGTCGCCCCGAGACACTGCCTTCGACCGACAGATGACGTTCAAAGGACGGGGGAGGATCGATGATGATACTGATACTGATACTGATACTGATGATGATGGTGATGGTGATGGTGATGCTGATGAGGATGATGATGCTGATGATGATAAGGATGATGAGAGTGATGATGGTGGTGATGGTGATGATGATCGTGACAATGGTGATGACGTTGATGATGATGACGACGATGATGCTGATGACGCTGAGGATGTTGATCATGGGGATGATGACGATGTTGATGTTGATGATGGTGATGGTGATGCTTAATAATATTATTATGATGCTCACGATGATGATTGCGATTCTGAGTGTGATAATGATGTTGACGATGCTGACGATGATGTAGGTGATGATGATCACGACGAGGAGTTTGATGATGATGGTGGTGGTGATGATGCTGATTTCGGTGGTGAATATTTCTGGTAACAATGATGACGATGAGGACGATGATGATGATTACCGTGGTGCTGATGATGATGATGCTGATGATGATGATGATGACGATGATGATACTGATGGTGGTGGTGCTGACGACGACAACTACGACGATGATGATGCAGATGTTGTTGGTGCTAATATTGATGGTTATGGTGATTATGATGATGGTGAGTATGCTGATGATGACGATGATGACGATGATTAATATGCTGGTTATCATGGCGGCGCTGCTGTTAATGATGTTGATGCTGATGGCGAATATCATGATGATTATGATCATGGTGATGGTGATGATGTTGATGCTCATAAGTAAGTATGATTATGATGACGCCGTTGTCGATGATAAGAATATAGATGCTGGGGATGATGATGTTCATGAGCATGCTACCGAGTACGAAGCTGCTGGTATGGGTGCTAATGCTGATGCTGATGCTGACCATCATTACCATGATGATCATGCTAATGATCATGATGATGCTAGTGACGATGCTGGTGATACGTGCTTTGATGATGGGTATGATGATGACTCGGAGTGTGACGCTGACTTTTCAGATGATGACGATGCTTTTGATGCTAATGATGACGATGCTAATGATGCTGACGATGATACTGATGATGGCGGTCATGCTCGTTAGTGTTTTGATGATGATGACGAGGAGGTGAAGGAGGAGGAAGGTGGTGGCGATGATGATGCTGGTGCTGTTGCTGGTGCTCGTGCTGGTGCTGGTGACGACGACGACAAGGAGGAGAACTGATGAGGATGAGGATGAGGATGATCATGACGATGCGGATGAGGGCGAGGATGAGGGTGAAGGTGAGGATGAACATGAGGTGAGGAGGAGGAGCAGGAGATGAGGTGGGGGCGGGCAGCTGCCATTGGCCGCGCAGATCGAGCACACGATGTTCGGCCACGCGCAGAGGGGGGTCGGGGAAGGAGGGAAGGCTCCTTAGAAGCACCCCTGCGTCTTAGAAGGCGCGGGCATTGTCTAAAACATGTGATGCTGGCGCCTTCTAAGAAGCAGTATCCTTCCAAGAAGCCTTCCTGCGCGTGGCTAACACTCCCAGGAGGAGCAGGGCGCGCTCTGTCGGTCAAGGAGGGCCCCCCCTGAGGCGTTCGGCAGAGGCCGAGTAGTCTCAGTGGCCCCCCTACGACGGAAGCTTGCTGTGTGCCCTCAGATGTCTTAGGAGTCGGGCGGGGCCAGGTATGTAACCATACCGCCATCCTTCTCTCGTTTGTCCCCTCTCTGGGCCGCCTGGGAGGCCCTTGTCGCCACCGCTGGCTTCTCCTCGAAGTTCTGGTCTGAGCGCACCCCGGGAGAGGTCTGGGGAGTAGCGGTATTGGCACCTTTTGATGGGCTTTTTTGTTCCTCCCCAGGGTAACGTTCGTTACCCAGGCCCCCCCCCCGCCCCCCTCCTTGGGTAACGCGTGCTGGAGCGCTCGCGGAGCGTTCCGCAGCGGTTTGGAACGGCCGCGGCGCCCGATAGGGCACGTCATCCCCAAGCGTGCGGCGTCGTGGCGTTTTCTCCAGAAACGGTCCCCAAATTTCCGAACCTTTCTCGGGCGGGTGCCAATGAGGGGTGGCCCGAATGGGGGGTGAAGTCAGAGACCCTAAAGGCTCCTAAAGGGGCGCCTGTGGGCCCTTTTGGGGCCCTTCTCGTCACCCCAAATTTGGGCCGCCCCCCACTAGCACTCGCCCGACTCTCCCCGGGACCAGCTTTTCGTCCCGAGCCGTTTTTGTTTCGGTCCCAGAGCATGGCGAGGGCCGCTGGAGGCTTAGAAAATGGCCAGCAGCATTCTCCCGTCGCGATTTTTCCAGACCATCCTGCACGGTCCCCGCGACTCTCCTTCTCCCCCTCACCCTCCCTCCCTCCTGCTGCTGCTGCTACTGCCAATGGCGGCAGCCCTCCCTCCTCCTCCTCTTCCTCCTCCTCCTCCTCCTCCTCCTCCTCCTCATCCTTCTCCCCCTGCTCCTCATCGTCCTCCTCCTCCTCCTCCTCCTCCTCCTCCTTCCTTCTTCTTCCTCGTCCTCCTCCTCGTCCTCCTCGTCCTCATCCTTCTCCTCCTCTCCTCCTCACTCCTCCTCCTCCTCCTCCTCCTCCTCCTCCTCCTCCTCCTCCTCCTCCTCCTCCTCCTCCTCCTCTCCTCCTCCTCCTCCTCCTCCTCCTCCTCCTCCTCCTCCTCCTCCCTCCTCCCGTCCCCCCCTCACTTCGGCACGCCACTCCCACTCACAAGGGTTCGTGGCCCCATAGGGAGTTCCACCAAAGGCCCCAGTGCCAGCGTCCACACGCGTCCCCCGCACCCATTTCGGCACCTCACTCACACGTTTCGTGGCCCCCCAGGGAGTTCCACCGAAAGCCCCAGTGCCACCGTCCACATGCGTCTCCCCCACACCCATGTCGGCACACCCCTTACACGTTTCGTGGCCCCATAGGGAGCTCCACCGAAGGCCCCAGTGCACCCGTCCACATGCGTCCCTCACGCCCATTTCGGCACACCCCTCACACGTTTCGTGGGCCAGAGGGGGTTCCACCGAAGGCCCCAGTGCCACCGCCCGCATGCGTCCCCCACACCCATTTCGGCACACCACTCACACGTTTCGTGGCCCCCTATGGAGTTCCACCGAAGGCCCCAGTGCCAGCGTCCACACGCGTCCCCGTCACCCATTTCGGCACACAACTCACACGTTTCGTGGCCCCATGGGGAGCTCCACCGAAGGCCCCAGTGCCACCGTCCACATGCGTCCGCCGCACCCACTCGACACCCCCCTTCACATGTTTAGTGGCCCCCTCGGGGGTTCCACCGAAGACCCCAGGGCCACCAACCACTTGCGTCCCCCACACCAACTTCGGCACACCCCTCACACGCTTAGTGGCCCCATCGGGAGCTCCACGGAAGGCCCACGTGCCACCGCCCGCATGTGTCCCCCACACCCATTCCGGCACCCCCCGCACACACGTTTTGTGGCCCCATAGGGAGCTCCACCGAAGCCCCCAATGCCACCGTCCACATGCGTCCGCCGCACCAATTTGGGCACACCACTCACAGGGTTCGTGGCCCCATAGGGAGCGCCACCGAAGACCATATTCACAATTGCGGTACGCACAACTGCATATGGTTGGGTTCTTCGCCAGGCTGTTGTTTTACGACGCGAGCATGCTTGGGTCCAGAGCCGCCAGGGCTCAGCGACCCCCGAGTTGTCCCAGGCAGATGCTGTCCAGGTCGTGGCCTCCTCGGAACTGCCGTTTCGCGCGCCGCAGCGTCGATGTCAGCCCGCCCTCGCCGCGCTGCTGGCATTACCCCGTTGGCCCCCTGCCCCTCTCCGGTCTCCATTCGCCAGTCTGCCCCCATGAGCAGGCCGCGCCCGCGCACCCGCCGCAGCCTCGCTGCGTGAGTGCGCAACCGCGCCTTCCCCTCCCCCTCTGCGGGCGCATCCTCTCTTCCCGTCCCCCTCTTGCATGCGGGCTGATTCGCGACTCCGTGCCCCGGCTTCACTCGGATGCGCGTGCGGATCGCCTCTGCCGCGCTGAGACGCAATAAGCTTCTCACATGAGGTGTTCGATGGTGAGCCCTTTGCGGATCGCCGTCCAGGTGTCGCGCCGGAGACCGCCAGAGGCCGCCGAAGACAGCCTGCGACCGCCAGAATCAGGAGGGAACAAAAACACACGCACACGAAGATCCGTCGATCCCGCGGACAATGTGGGTGAATCTGAGAAGTGGGGGGGCAAGACGAACATCCAGAACACATGGCACACATGAGGTATCTCGGGACTTGTATCCATATATTTGCGTGTGTCCCTGGGCCTCCTTGCAGCAGGTCCGCCCAAGGCCGCCGAAGGCCGATGGGTAACACGGGGTCCCTGGTGGAAAAACGCAAGCCCCCCCTCCTCCAGGCTGGGGGGATGAGGAGGAGGAGGAGGAGGAGGGAGGAGGAGGAGGAGGAGGAGGGAGGAGGGAGGAGGAGGAGGAGGAGGAGGAGGAGGAGGAGGAGGAGGGAGGAGGAGGAGGAAGGAGGAGGAGGAGGATAAGGGAGGAGGAGATGGGGGAGGAGGAGGAGGAGGAGGGGGCCCGTGGCGCCTGCGGGGAGGCCGTCCGCGGGCCCGACCGTCAGAGTGCTTGGTGTGCTGAGGTTTCGTGGCGGCTGGCTCGGGAAGGAGGGTGCCGACTTGACGTTGGCCCAGGCCTCAGTGGGCCCTGGACACGACAGGGCCCTTTTCTTACCGGTTCCGGTGTGCCGTTTTTGTTGCCGGCTCCGACGCCGTTGTTGTTCACCGGTTCCGTCGCCGTTGTTTGACCGGTTCCGGCTCCGGTTCCAATCTTGGAGCCGTTTTTTTTTTACCGTTTCTGGTCGCCGTTTTTTTACCGTTTCCATTTTCAAGGGACATTTTTGGGGAAACGGTGAAAAAACGGCCCTGCCGTTTCCGGGGCCCACTAAGGTCCAGGCCTCCCAGATGGGCTCTCAGGTTCAGCACCGTCTAACCCATCCCCATCCCCACCGGGCCATGGTATCGCAGCCCCGCGAAACCCGGAGGGAACAGCGTATATCCCCATCTAGTGGGGTAAGTCGTTCAGTGGGGCGGAGTTTCTCCACACCGACGTCGCCGATGCATGGCCAGCGTCGACGGTGCATCGCCGGTGCATCGCCGATGTGTCGGCGATGCATCGGTGATGCGGCGCAATGTTGCGATTTTCCGGCCCCGTCTACGCCAACCCCATCAGTCGGGGGAGCGTAAGACCCGGGTTTGCCAGGACTCGGGTTCGCCAACGTTTTTTGACGACCGCGCCTCGGATTTTGACGAGGAGGAGTTTCGTGGGATGTCTGCAGCGGGAGGCCTCGTCAAAATGCAGGCTCGGCCTCGTCATTTTTGCTGACGACCTCGTCGAGGATTTCCGAGTCCCCTGTACCCAGGTCTTACGTCCCCCTGAATCAGGGAGGCTTCTCGGGAAGGAGGGTGGGGTGCTTGCCTGATGTGGGGGCGGCTGGGGTCGGCAGGACGACGAAGTCAACCACGACTTCGTCGAGTCGCTCCTGAGAAAGCTGGTGGGCCACCGGCGGCCTCCTCCTCCTCCTCCTCCTCCTCCGCCTCCTCCTCCTGATCTCCCTGCACGCTAATTTAGTTCGCAGCTCTCGGAAGAGGCAGCGCGACAGCCCTGACGATCAGCGCTCAGGGGCATTTGGGCTCCCCATCCCATGCTTGGTTCTGGCGGGTGATGGGCCCTCAGGATCTCACTGGTTGATGCCAGTGTTTGTCCTCATTGGAGGATCGCGGACGCTTCCGAGGAGCGTCAGCATGCCACAAGGTGTTTCGAACCTTTTCTCCCAGCAAGCGAGCAATAGTCATGCAGTTGCCGTTATTTCGCGTATAGACTGTTTGGGCTCATGCCCTCCGGGCCTGTCGATCAAACTTCCGAGGTCTGTATAGTTTTACGCAGCGCTGGATGCCGCAGCAAGAAGACTCCGTCGATGGGTCGACCGAGTTGCGGTCGAAGCCACTCGGTGTATTGTCTCTTGTTAGCATCGGTTTTTTTTGGGTGTCGGGTGGGATCTACGGCAACGAAGAGCTCATTGCTGCAGCCCCTCCTCTCGTAATGAATATTGCTGTGCTTGTTGGTGCACTGTGCTATGCATTGCCCTTGTCGCTGATGACTGCAGAGCTTGGAACTGCCATCCCTGCAGACGGTGGTCAGGTAGCCTGGGTACACACAGCATTTGGCCGCATCATTGGCGGGCATAATGGTTATTGGATCTGGTTCACGAATGTCCCCTTGCTTTCGCAAGCCGCGTCTCGTGCCAGCGCAGTATTGACATGTATGCAGGATGGTTCTGCTGATGTCGCCGAATACGTTTGATAGAACCAACTTGGGGCGTGGGGCCGTTTATGAAGCTGCTCGACGGTGTTATAACGTGGCGCAGCCTTCACACTGCATTATGTGTGTATGTATGTGTGTGTGTGTGTTGCGATGTCGGTGTTCTTGGCGGCTTCTCGGGGACTTTGAAGCATCGCGGGGACCGATTTGGGCCCCTTGAGGGCCTCTTTCGGGATTGTTGGAGGTCTCGCCCTTGGCGCGACGATTCTCTCGAGCTCTCCTGAATCGGCGTAATTGTATTATTTTGAGGCCGTGTGGGGGGCTCCTGGAGGTGTTTGAAGCGGTCTTTCGGCGGTGTACCTCGTAGAGCTTAGTCGGGAACCGAAACTATGAGGAATTTCGGCACAGGATGGACCCGTCTTGGTCTTGGAGCCCCTCACTTGGGCCGTCTGGGGCGCCCCCTGGGCCGGCTTGGGGCCCTCTTGGGCCGTTTTGGAGCCTTCATGGAGGCCTTTTGGGCCGTCTTGGGACGATTTTGGGAGCTTCTTGGGCCGTCTTGGAGCGTCGGGAAGCCGAAAAGGCGAGAACGCCACAATCCTTCAGAAACCTACGGAGCATCAGTAATCATTCCATCTTGGAGGCCTATCGAAGGCCTTTGGAGCGTCTTGGGGGCATGTTGGGGGCCATCCTGGGCCTCGTGGAAAGACATTTCGGCGCAAATTTGTGCGACAACACTCCGGGGGCCCGCGCCAAGCCCTGGAAGATTTTGGCAATTCTGGGTGCAGCCTTGAAATATCTTGAGGATATAGGGCCTTGGCTTCTGGATCGGGCCAAAGACCCGAGGACATTCCAACTCGTGCTTCCTGGCGCGGTGGCGGATATTCTGGACGCCCGAAATGGGTACGGAAAGAATGGGTACACTGCCCAACAGCACTTCCTGTTCATTTTGAACAGGATTCGCTGTCCACGCCGCCGCGGCCTGTGTCCATTCGAGACAGAAGGCCGCCTGCCCAACAGCGGCCGCTGTTGGCTTGGGACAACATTTAGTGGTGGTCAGTGTACCCACTCTTTCCGTGCCCATTTCGGGCGTCCAAAGATATGCATTTGCATTCATATACCCATATGTTTGGATGTATGTATGTGTTTGTGTACATGTGTACACATGTGTATATTTTAGAACGAGTTGCCGGCCGGTCTTACACCATCCTTGGGTGCGTGCCTGAAGCGGAGCGACCTGCCCGCGACCCTCCCGCGACCCGCCCGCGACCCCCCCGCGACCCCCCCGCGACCCACCTCCGACCCACCCACGTTGCTTTGACGAGAATTCGTGCTTGCGGCGATTTCGCTGCACAATTTGTACAAAAAGTGGGCGCTTCCAGCGTGCTTCTTCAGAGCGTCGCAAACGGCCCACTAACCCGCCGCCCACTCACTCTTATCCACAATAGTGGGGGATGTGGTGAGTGTGGGCCCCCGGACACTGTAACGTGGTGGACCCTGCTGGGCGCGTCGGACGTACCAGGCGGGACCCGAAAGCGTGCGGGCGGGGGTCGGGCGGGCGGGCTATGTAAAACAACGGAAGATCGGGACAAAATCGGATCGGGATAACTCGAAATCTCTGAGAATCGGCGGGTTTGGAGGATGTATTGGGCGCCGCGGCCGCTCCAGAGCGTTCCGGAACGCTCTGAGAGCGCTCCGGAACGCTCTGGATCGATTTATCCCGATCCTAGCTCTGTTTTACCTATGCCTGGCGGGTCGGGCGGGCGGTCCCTCTCGGGCGGTTGGGGCAGGTAGGCCCTGCCAGGCAATTCACAGGCATTACAACACGCCCCAGTCGGCACGCTTGCGGATACTTGATGCAGCAGTCTACCCGCAGCTTGCCGCGCAGTACGTTTCCCACTCATTGCACCTCGGTGCTCAGGCCAAAGCGATGGTTCCGTTCGCATTTATCGTGTCAGTTGCGATTGCGAGTCTAACGGGTCTCGCCTGTGTGACGACACTCCAGGGTGCAATATTTGTTGTTTCTTTGACACCCTGTTTAATCTACATCGTTGTTGGCTTACCATCTCTGGACGTCAGCGTAGCCTTGTCGATGCCCGGAGACGTGGCCACCGATTACGCGCAATTGTTTTCATGGACTCTATGGCTGTTTTCGGGCTTCGCTTCGCTAGGGTCTTTGGCTGGAGAGATTCGACGGCCCAGGGTAACATACCCTGCAGCGATTGCGCTGCTGCTGCCACTTACCACTCTTCTCACCTTAACCCCTTGTGCTATATCCCTGTCCCTCGACAGGATCGAAGACGCCTCCAGCGAATCACCGCCGCCGTCTGCCTCGCAGAGACGCTTGTAAGGCGGGCTCATCGCGCTCTTTTCTGGCCTTTCGGGTTTTCCTGGGGGGCCTACCTGGGGCTTTATTCTGCCATCTTGAAATGCTCTAGGGCCGTCTGTTGCCTTTGGATGCCATCTTGCGGGCCTATGTATACCATCTCCGCGTCTCCCTTGGTTCTTTGTAGGCCCATCTTGGGACCTTTCCGGGCCATCGAGGGTGTGTCTTGGCGCCGGCCTCGGGTCATGTTCGGCCGTCGCGCGCCCTCTTGAAAGCGTCCTGGGCCGGACAGGTATTTCGGAAGCCCGAGAACGCGAGAACGCGAGAACAATTGGAACACCCAGGTCCTCTTGGATGTTTCCTCTTAGGAGCCTTTCTGGGGCATGCGTGGGGGGCCTTCTGGGAAGTCTTGAGGCAGTACTGGAGCCATCTTGGGCCGTGTTGGAGGCAACCTGGGGCCATCTTTGGCTCCCTGTGATTATGCCGTCCGTTGTGGGGTCTCTTGGGGCCCCCTTGGAGCCATCTCGGACGCAAAGGCCCACAGGATGCTGTCGATTTCCAGCTGGTCGGCGAGCTGGGCCGGAGAGCGTTGGGGGAGATCCTCAAAGGGCCACATCGACTTGCACGTGCTCCAGCGGCCAGCGCGAGGGGGAAGCGAGAGGGGGCGGGCCTTTTCGGAAGGCTCGGAGGTTCCCCGGCATCGCCGATGCATCTGCGATGCGGCTCGATATGGGGCACAGCTTTCTCCACGCCGATGCATCGCCGACGTCGCAAGTGCATGACCGATGCATCGCCGATGAGGCAAGATCTTCCGACCCAATCTGAGGAGGCGGATGAGGAGGAGGAGGAGGAGGAGGACGACGAGGAGGACGACGACGACGAGGAGGAGGAGGAGGAGGAAGAAGAAACGGAGGATGCTCGGTCCCTAGCCCTGAGGCCTCTAACTTCGCCCCCCGCCCTCGCTCGCGGCACGCCAGGCACCCCTCGGGCAGGCTACCGTGGCGGAACATATTGTTGCCTTCGGGTCCATGCCGCTACCATGCCTGCGCCGTGGACCAAGGACTTCAGAGAGGCAGGCCCCGTTCGGGTCCCTTGGGATGCCTCCCGGGGCCGCTTTTGAAGCTATTTCTGTTGCGCTTCGGTGGCCACACGGCATGAGACGTGCCCCCGAGGCAGGAATTCATACATGATCACCGCCCAGAGGATTCATTTTCGGGGACCTCGGGAGGCGGTGGATATGGGTCTATTCGGCCCCCCAGTGGCCAACATATATCCACCGCCCGCTTGGGCACCAGCGCGTCGGTTCCCAGGCGGTGGGTATGGACAAACCCCCGCCTCGCAGTGCCCCACGTCGGCCTTGCCCGACGCCGATCGCTCGAGCCCCCGCAGCGGCGCAGCATGCCTGGCGGCCCCCTCGCATTGGGCCCACGTCCCCCGCCCAGGGCTCCTTCCTTCGTGGCCGTTGCGCGCCCGCGTGGGAGGCCCACTGCTGGCCTCACGGGGCCACCGGGAGACCGCCTGGGGGCCTCTTCGGGGGCCCAGGGGCTGTCCAGGGGGTGTCCTCTCGGGGCGGAGGGCTCCGTGTGTCAGTCCGTGATGCTCCTCTGGAGCGTCTGTCGGGGCCGTCGCAGGCTCCTCTCGAGGACCTTCGGGGCCGTCTTGGGGCGAGCGGGCCTCTTAGGCCGCGTCCCAGGCGCTCTCAGCACCGATCGGCCGAGGACGCGAAGATAGTGCAAATCATGCGTTTCAGTAGTTTGGGCATCCCAGACGGCCGAAGAGGCCTCCTAGAGAGCACCAGAACAGGCTCCCGAGACCATGCATGTTCTAAATTTCGACCCCTGGCCACGTCCCCCAGGTGAAGATGTCACGTCGCGGGGATTCCCCTGGGAGCGGCCTCGTCTGAGCACGTTCAGAGCGCCCAGGTTGCCTCCAAGACAAGGGGCCCCCTGGGCCCCTTGAAGAGCATTTATTGTCAATGCAGAGGAGAGACCCGGGGACTCTCCATAGAGTGCCGACGGCACGGTGGCGCATCATTGATCATTACGAGTAGATGGGATCCGAGTCTTTGGGGTTGGAAGATCCCGACACATCGCTGGTGCGTTGGCCATGCGACCCGATGCATCGCAGCCGTCGCCGATGTATTGCCGGTGTATCGGCTATGCGTCGAAGATACCGCGCGACCTTCAATTCCATCTACCCAGGCCCCATCTTGGAGGCCTCCGTATTCACAATATTCATACAGAGTACTCGAAGAGACTTGACGGCATTCTATTCAGTGCGTACTGCACGGTGGCGGATCATTGGCCATTACGAGGCAGGGTATTTTGGTGAGCTCGCCGGGGATATTGCTGGTACTTGGTTGACGGTGTTGTTTTCCATTGGGTCAAATGTGTCAATGCTGGGGCTGTACACATCTCAAATGATCACTGCAGAGCAAACGATGCTGGGGATAGTCCAGGGTCACGGCTTTTTCGCAGACGCACACGAGTCGGGAAACGACCCAGGCATTTGCGACGCTGGCGACGACTCGGAAGACGGGGCGAGCGATAGAAGTATTGGGAGCGAACGACCCGACCAACCACGTGTAGATATTAACGGACGGCGGCCTCCGTGGCTCATGCGTGCGCCTTCAGCTGGTGGTGCACCGCGTTGCATCGTACTTTTCAACGCGGGTATCTCTTGCTTTTTGACGTTTGTTGATTACTCATCGCTGATCATGGTTGAGATGATGTTAGTTTGCGTCTCGACGATTTTATTTTTCTCGTCGTTTATCGCACTGCGTGTTCAGCAGCCCGAGTTGGATCGCAGCTTCAAAGTCCCGGGGGGCACCATCTCGGTTGTCGTGTACTCTCTACCTTCGTTCATTATGTGCGTTGCCACCCTTACCATCAATTTCATGGTCCGCTTCAACACGGTAGCGTTCGCCTGTGTGATCGCGGGCGGCTTATTTGTGCACATGGTAGGATATGTTGTTCGAGTTTTTGGTGACCAGTGCCAATCCCGAGCTCGAGATCTTGGGGGAGTCCCCGAGGTACCCCAAACATCGAGAGCTATCATGGCCGCCTGATCGCGTGCGCTTTGACTCTACGCTCCATGCATCGCGTTGCGCAAGGGTTCGGTCTGGTCGTTGCCTGACTTGCAAAACGAATGTCGTGTGGTGTCCGCATCGACGCTCGGGTTGTCACGGTGGGACGTCATTCCAGTGTTGCGCGTACCACGTAAGGCGTCAGTGAGGATGTCTGCAGCAGTGTGTTCGCATAGTACGCGGGTTAGAATTCGCGGGTGGGCCTTTTGTCGCGGATTCAGTTGGGGCAGGCGTGTCCTTACGAATTTTACAAGCTCTCGTTGTAATACCCTTGCGTTACCGCCAACCGCGCGTGCATTTGCTTGCCGCAGGTGGTAATCCCGAAATGAAGGGGGGAGCAGGGGATTGACACCCCCACAGAGGTTGGCAAATCTTCGGCATGGTACGAAGACTCGGGCACGACGTCTCGCGCAAGCGTACGTACCAGAGGAGAGCAGTGTTCGGAAGAGATCCCGCGGCCTGCCAGGTGGGGCCCGAGCACGGGTCGGAGGATCGCGCCGCATCGCCGATGCATCGACGATGCGGCTCGATGCGGAGCCCGTGCTTACCCACGCCGACGTCGCCGATGCATCGCCGATTTCGCCGATGCATCATCGATGCATCGCCGATATATCGGCGATTCGGTGCAGTCCGCCGACCCCATCTATTCGGGCCCCATCTAGGATGCCCTCACTGAGCCTGGCGAAACCAAACCCCGAGAGCGAAATCGTTGTTATTCTATGTGTTGTTTCGCCGATCAGCGCGGGCCCCTCCCCTTTCCCTCCACCACCCCCACCCGGACCATTGTGTTGGCTGCTGTCGGCTGGTTCCTGGCGACTGGTCAGGGTCCCTTCCCCTCGGCTTCCTGGTGCGACTGGTACAAGCAGATCGACGAAGCACCGGCCCAGCCCCACATCCCACCTCCCCGACCCTCCGGCCAAATACCGAAAGCCCGACCCCCCCTCCCCCACCCTTCGGCCAAATACCGAAGAAACCCGGACCGCCCCTCCGCCACCCTTCGGCCAAATACCGAAACCCAGAGTCGACCGACGGTGCCCGCATCTGTCGATGATCCCATGACGCATTCGGGGGACGCGGGGTCTTCCGCGGGCGGGTAGCTGTTCAGAAGATTCGTCGTGGAGTGGGATCGAACGTATCGGTCAGTTTTCCGTTGACGGATGCCCAGGATAATGTTGCAGGAGGTTCTCGGCAATTCCACCCGCTCCAGGTCTATGACTGAGTTTGAGGGCCCCTGTTCGACAGGTGCGTCGAATGCACAATGTCCACGCCCTCTTGATCTGGATTCCGGGGCGCGATCCCGTGGTGACATGGATGCGTTCCGTGCGGGGCATCCTCGAACGAGCGCCTCTTATCCACGGGGTGCGGCACGTCCTCATCCGCACGGCATGCAAAAGCGGGCTCACCGTGGCTCACCCATTTCGACCAGTGTTGGCACCCTGGCGGGCGGACATGAACCTTGGGGACGCCAGGAGGAGGTATAAAGGGAGGCGTATGTGTGGTGCGTGTGGCCTCACGTGGGCCCCTGAGTGAAACAGAGAGAGAGAGAGAGAGAAAGAGCGTGGGCGGTGCCGCGGGGGCGAGGGGCGGGGGCACGGCGGCGGCGGCAGCAAGAGTAGCACATCCTGCCTTCAACAGCCGTCCCGCACCTAGCCTGACAGCGTCAGGCAAGCATGCGCTCGGACACTCCTGCGCCACACTCCTGGGTCAGCAGTCCAGATGGGCCACTTCTGCCACACGCTTCTGCTTCCCAGCAGCTGCTCTCGCGGCCCTGCGTTCTTTAGTTGTTTTGCGGTTCTTCGCAACGGGCTCCTGGATCGTGTCAGGTAGGGCAACAGGCGAGTGGGATCGGAACGGAGGCAGGATCAACAGCGGTCTGAGGAGCATTCGGTGTTTGTATCACAAGCCAAGAGCATATATATGATCTTGTTCGTCGACAGACTCGGGGATCCCGCTGGTGCGGGGTGTCACCGTGGGGTCTGGTACCGAGCCTTGTGGGATCTGTCAGGGCGCGATTGGCGTCGATGGCTTAAACCTATCGAGTTCAGGGTCTGTTCGTCGGGTGCCGTGGCTCCGAGAAACAACATTTGGGGCCTATCGTCCATCCACATATCGCAGCACAGAGGTCTTCAGCTTCCACCATCTCCTCAGGGAAACAACTTACATTCATCTACTCCCACACGCCCTTCTCTGCCGAAACTGCGGAGTCCGACGGACACTTGAACAACTGTGGTTGCTTCGACTTCTTCTTGGCCGTTCTCCAAATCCCCAGATCGTAGCGTCGGGACCCAGAAGCGTGCCGTGCCACCCTTTCTGCCGTGCGAGTAAACCCCCACGTCTTGGTGTTGATACAGGGCTGGGCTGCAGGCCCGGCATACGAAGTGCAGGGCTGCCGCAGGTGCCCTGGATCTCTGACCGTGCTGCCCCCCCTTCCCCCTCCTCCTCCTCCTCCTTCTCCTCCCACTCCTCCTCCCTCCCTCCTCCTCCTCCTCCTCCTCCTCCTCCTCTCTCCTCCTCCTCCTCCTCCTCCCCCTCCTCCTCCTCCTCCTCCTTCTCCTCCTTCTCCTCCCTCCTCCCTGGCTGTTGACAGAATGACTGCATGCACTGGGTGCCACGTGAACGAGTTGATTGATGGTAGCCGCCAGCCGCACGGTCCATCCAGCACGAAGTTCCAGTTGTCATGCGTTCTGCGAGGAGTCTCACCATGGCACATAGCGTGATGTGTCCTACATTCAGCTGCTCCGCTTGTCTTGGGGTCGCAGCTGGTTTGCCCCAGGCTTCGCCATGAGTGCGAAGGGGGGGGAGGCGGCGTGGGGGTCCAGACCCTCGGCCCACTGGAAGGCCTACCATGTCCCCCGGGGAGGGGCACTCCCCGACACCGCGGCGCGCCCATTCCTGCTGTACCGCTTCCGTGCGTCCAGCTGGGATCAATCCATCGTGGAATCGTGTCGCACAGGGCCTGCAGAGCATTATACGACTGCAAACGAGGGTACAGTGCCGTTTTTTTTATACATGTTCCGCGTGCGGGTCATGTATCAAAATGCAGGGATCTGGCATTACAGACCACGATGAGTTCATGCATAAATGTATTATTGAATAAGTAATGTAATACAAATCCTATGCTTTTAAAAATCCTATGTATTAAAAACTGCCTTGTACAGAGCATTACGACTGCAACCGAGGGCAGATCCTGCGCCCGCTCCACGCGTGCCCGCACGTCTCCTGCCCGCCGCTGCGCCCTGAGCAGAAGTCCTCGCGACGAAGTGCTCTACACCCTGCGGATGCCCGTGCCATCGAGGATGAAAGACCCCCTGACCCTGCTATGGGGGAACAACAATTGACATAAACAGAAAAAACTCGGAGGTCCGGGCGGGTTTCTCGGATCGGCGCTGGACCCCCTCCCTGGCGCGCGGAGCGCGCCAGGGGCGGCGCCAGAGGCGCCGCCGGGGAGCCCCAGCGCCGATCCGAGAAATCCGCGCGGACCTCCGAGTTGTTTTGTTTATGTTCTTTTTTGCTCCCCTATGAGAACACGATGGAGACGTGGCCTCACGCCCTAATGTTGTTGGCCCGCCTCACTTATGTTTCCTCCCAAAGGGTTAAGGCTGCTTTTACTGCTCATGACTTTGGGCACTTCCTGACTAAGAATGCTTGTATGCAGCTCCTGTGGACCGAGCAAAGTAAGTGGGATATTTTTCCGTAGTGTAGCTGGTTTGTGGTGGCTAGTCGGGCGTTGCGGCAGCAGGTGGCGGCAGCAGCACAGCGAGCGAAAACGTCGGCGTCTGTGGGTCGGCTGCCAGCAGCTCGTATCGGACGGACATTCGCCTGAGACATCGTACGAATCGCATCTGTAGCATGCTAAGCAAATGGTCCCTCGGCCCGGATAGTAGGGACCAATCCTTGTCGCCTTCTCATGCATAGAGCATGGGCCTTCCCACCTGTTGCATGATAGTAGTTTCAAGTTCCGATATGTGATGTGTTGGGCGTGCTCCTGGAACCGTTAATTTTCTAAATCCGAAGCGAGGTGATCCTTGACGTGATGACGGTTCTGAAATGAGACCAGGCAAGTCTGGCATTGTCCGTTCGGTGTGGTCCACGCTTTCGCTTGCGGGAGGGAGGGGTGAGGAGATGGAGGCGGCGTACAGTTGGTGGATTGCCGCCAGGTTGTAATTCTTGGCCTGATGAGCAGCAGGGGCAGGCGGGGGCTTGACTCGCAGTTGCTTGGCAGTGTGCAGTCAGTCTCACGTGATTCCGTCGCGTCGTCCAGGTCGGTTTTCGGTCGCCGTCCCTGATTGTTGGGTCTCCCGGTGCCTTCCTGAAGAAGAAGAAGAAGAAGAAGAGAAGGATGAGGATGAGGAGGATGAGGAGGAGGATGAGGAGGAGGAGGAGGAGGAAGAGAAGGAGGAGGAGGAGGAGGAGGAGGAGGACGAGTAGGAGGAAGGAGGAGGAGCAGCAGGAGTAGGTGGCCGCGTCGCACGACTCGTCGGCCGAGAGAGACAGAGAGAGAGAGAGAGGAGCAGGAGACGCAGCCGTCGCAGGTGGACAGGTCTCTCGCCGAGGACCGGGGCGCCATCCTCGTCTTCCTGCCGGGGTGGGAGGCCATCAGCGCCATCCACGCGAAGGTGCAGAGGCAGGCAGGGGGGGCGGCCCGAGAGTTAAGTCGGGCCTGTCCCCCTACAGGGGGATCTTCGGCGAACAATGTAAAATACCAGAAACATAGTCAAACAATAAGTCAAAAATAGTCAGGGGACTTTTTTTTGTATGTTTTTACCTTTTTGGGGTAGTTTTGGGGTATTTCTGGGGTATTTCTATTTTTTCGCCGAAAATCCTTCTGTAGCGGGACACGCCCGACAGAACCCGAGAGAGAGAGAGAGAGAGAGAACAAAGCGTGCGCGCGCCGCGAGGGGGGCGCCGGCGGCGGCCCGAGCGGCCGCGCTCCAGGGCGGGGGCGGGCCCCTCGGAGAAGAGGGCGGGCGAGGCGGAAGGGGGTCTAGGCTTCCTAGGTGGGGTCGGAGTAGGTGGGGTCTCGGGGGTGGACAGGCCTCCTACCCTGACACGTCGATGAAGGAATTGGCCGTTTTCGCTTCGCGAGAGGGCGTCGCGGCCGTCATTTTTGCGGGTCCAGGTCCGTCGGTTTCGGTCCCAGGCCGTTTTCACTAAGGGGAGGTTTGCTAAAGGGAGGTTTGTCCACCGCCGAGGGTCGGAGGATCGCGCCGCATCGCCGATGCATCGGCGATGCGGCTCGATGCGGAGCCCGACTTTCTTCATGCGCACGTCGCCGATGCATCGCCGACGTCGCCGACGCATTGCTGGTGCATCGCCGATGCATCGCCGATTCGTTGCCGATGTATCGCCGATGCGGTGCGATCCCTGGACCCCATCTACTCCGACCCCATCTAGGAGGCCTCTAGGGGGGGGGACTGGGACAGGGGGGGGGTTCGACATCTGCTGCAGGCAGCTGGAGTCGGCCCCACCGAGGGGCCCATGCCTCGATACATGGCAGCCTCCGGCGCCGGGAGGCTCCGGGAGAATCAGCTATGCGTGAGCTGAGTCTCAAGCCCCCCCTTTGCTATCCCCCCCTTTCGCCCGGCCCGAGTTTGGGGGGGAGGGAGGGAGGGGGATCGAGGGGGGCGAAGTTTCCACGGTCGAGGTCCTCGGGCGTGGTCGCAGGTGCTCGGCCGTGCCCCCGCCTCGGCGATGTTTGGGGCGGTGCTGTTGGTGCTCGGCGCTTTGTGGGTTGCCCCCATCGTGGGGCACCGCTCGGGGGCAATGGGCTCCCAGAGGGGACGACGATACCGATGCCGATGTTCGTCCTGGAGGGCCCTCATCCGCCACGGCCGGATTCTGCTCGAAATCCCGGTCAGAGCTCACCCCGCGAGAGGTCCTGAGTGCAGCAGCATCCGTACGGTAGGATCGTAGGTTCACGTCGTGTCGATTGGCGGCGACCCCGCCGCAGGCGTTCAACGTTGAATGTTGGCGGCGGCCCAGAGTCGGTTCAAAGATCGGACGTTGCGGAATCGGCCGATTGTTGACAGGTTGAACAGTCCCCGCGGTGTCAGGGACCAGCGCCTGGGTCGGCACGACACGAACGTGCCGTACCTAGGGGAACAACAGTGGCCGCTCCCGATGGCAGTGGGGGGGCGGCATGAGTTCGAAGAACCACGGCATGAACATACAGTGGAGGCCCATATGCCGAGAATCACCCTGCTTGCCCCGAAGGTGCTCCGGGCGTCTTGGATTTCGATGGTTCTGCTATGGGAAGCGCGGCGCTCCCGCACCAAAAATCAGTGGACGTCCTGGGGTCTCAGGGTTGGGTTTATTGTGGAAGGTTTCCTGTGGTTGGGCTCCGACTGCAAATTCGAAGAAGAGCAATCGGCACAATCATAATCATGTGGCGCTCCGCGGGGGTTCCTTGGATCCGCGCTGGGCCCCCGGTGGCGCCTCCGGCGCCGCCCCCTGACGCGCTCCGCGCGCCAGGGAGGGGGGTCCATCGCAGATCCACGAACTCCGCACGGACCGTCGAAAGTTTATATTTACGCCGTTATTGTATTCTTTAATCTATGAGGGGTGAAGAGAGACTCCTAAACGGCCCGTCGGGGCACCTTTACGAGCCACCAGGAGCCCTCGAGGGCCCTTGCAGAGCCTTGTTTGTTTCCCCAGTTTAGGTCAACCCGCAGTAATTACCACTTGCCCCCCAGAAGACAGCCTGTCGGCGCGAGGTCCACTCGCGCGGAAGGCGGGATTAGAGACTGGACGTCCGAGAGATGAGATCTTTCCAGGGTGGGCGATTGTTGGGGCCGGCTGGGGGTTCGAGCTGGCACAGCATTGGTTTTGGCCAGCATGAAGGGGGGTCATGGTTCTTGATGCTTGGTTTGATCAGTGTGTCTGCCTTCGCGGTATCTGGGGGCTGTGTTCGGAGCCTCGGGCCGTCAAAAACGGATCCTGGGTGAAAAGTTACCCCAGACCGTTTTGCAGCGGATTTGCTTCCCCCCCCCCTCTAGTCCGATCTTTCTCTGTGCCCAACCAGCTCAGACCCCTTGGCCGACTCCAAGCGGGATCGAGAGCCTGGACCCGCGAACGATGAGGTCGTTTCAGGGCTGGCGGTTGCCTCCTGCGGCGCGAAGCCAGATTCGGCGTCGTCATGGCAGGCGCCCGCCGTGCGTTCGTTTCATGGTCACGAGAATGTCCGTACCGTGGGTTGCCGCCGTCGTTTGCCACCACTTTGCCGCGGGCACCGAGCTCCCCAGACCCTTCGAGTAATGAACAAATCATGACGGGAGGTTTTTCGTAATTTTCGACCTTTGGAGGCCCTTACCGGGCCTTAGGACCGTCAAAGACGACTCGGGATGAAAGACCGGTCCCGGGGAATGGGTCGAAACCTGTGTGGGTCGACGTCATCAGCAGATCATGACGTCGGGGTCTGGGTCATCCGACTCCTCTCCTGCCTCTCCTCGTCCGGGGCGGTTTCGCTTCCTGCACACCCCTGGCTGTGCCCGACCCTGGCGGACTTTCGAGGGTATCCTGATACGCGTCGGCGCTGTTATACCACATACAACAAGGACACATGTATACTCGTATTCGCGCCGAAGGGCTGATCAGTTAGTGTTGTAAACGCTCAGGTAGTGTTGGAGTCGCTCAACTGGTGATGTATTTGCACATGACTGATATCACACTCTCAGACTCGGAGCTCCGAGCTCCGAGCTCCGAGCTCCGAGTCTGGGGCTGCCCCAGAAGGCCCCGCGCCTCACGGCGGTGCCTCGGCTTGCCGAGGGGCACGGCGGCCGCTGGTCCGGAGGTGGGCTGCCGTCCGGGCGCCGTCCGGGCGTGCCCGCCTCTGCACGCCGTGCTGCGAAAGCGCTCCGGCGTGCTCCTCCCCCACAGCACCCCTCCCCTGACCCGCGTTGCCCCCTGCGCTTGCCGCTGCCGAGGCCCTCCGTCCTCTTGATCAGGAGCGAGAGAAGGACGTACACGTAATTGCATGAAGCCACGCTGGTTTCGAGAGTGCGCATGGCGCAAATGTTCGTCCGCCCAGCTGCTGGAAGTCGCGCGGAGCTCAAGCACGGGTGCGGCAGCCCTCGTCGCCGAGTTTGGGGCTCTGGGGCACGACGTTTTCAGGGGAACAAAAACACACACAGACACAAGCAATCGCCGATTCCCAGGAACCTCTGCGCAAATATGGGAAGTGGGGAGGGGGAAAGACAAACACACTGGAAATATGGAAAAATATGGGGAATCCTGTTACTTGTT